TAACGATAGGTAACTATTTTTTTTTTTTTTTTTTTTAATTTCTTAAATTTCTCGCAGTAATTAATAAAAGCAGCGGGAGTAATGTCGTAGCGTTGATATCATTATCTCGAGTGAAATATTATCCTTCCTAGTATTGCAATTGTCGTTGATTCGCATTTAACAAGCCGTACTGTAAGATCACTTCCCGTCGCAAAGATATGAAACAAGATAATCCTCTAATGTTCGTAATGTTCGTTTGTGCATTGGTCATTCGCTAGTTTTTGATATATTTGGTGAAAGACAAAGTCTGCTGCAATGCAACTGAAACTACGGTATTCAGTGAAATGTTCTTTTGAGACTATTAGAGCATAATAAAATTTAATGTTAGAATATCACAGTCGAAGGTCGAAGCCATTGAGGATATTTCGCGGTGAATGTTTAGAAACAGCGCGGTAAGTTTTTCTAACCTCATTTCGATATATGTTACTTTCGCGATCTAGATCAGCTGAAGAAAAGAAAAGGCACAAGGATATATCGCAATGTATCACTTGTTAAAGACACGAATTTTACTTTGACATTTTTTTTTATAATCAATACTAATTGAGTTCAATCCTTGGAAATATTTACGATTTAAGATTTCTTAAATCCTGTTTTGGATGATGTAATATTTTGTCACATGCTCCAATGATTTAAATATAAGCCAGACGAAGGGAAGGCGAGAGCAGAAGATATATTAGAGATAACAATACTTGTTCAATAGTGATATGGACTGCTAAAGAATGATAAAAAAATAAAAAATTAAAAGAAAAAGATACAAAGGCTACAGTATGGAAAAGTTTATGTAGGTCGTAAAAATGTATAAAATGGTTTTGAATATTCATGAAAGCCTTTGTGCAAAAAGGCATATCTTTATTAATGATTCTTTACTGAACATGACAAGAAAATGAAGAATTGGATATTTTACATGTCCAATGGTAACGTTTTATTAAATTTCGCAATAATATTTTCTTGAGAGGAAAGACGGTGAGAAACAAATACAGAAAAATTAATTCGAACGGTTTAAATGTCGAACTATCTTTATTTTTTCTTCTCGCGAGTGAAAAACTGTTTGCTATCGCGCCAGTCGCGTTCGAAGGAACTTTAGAATCCACAAGATAATATTTGACGTTGTTAACAAATACTATTTTAATAGGGAAAGAAAATAATGCTGACTACATGTGTATATAATGCTTTTTCTTCAGCACTCGTTTCAAGTAAGAATTGCACTTGTGCAACTTATCTTCTAAAACTATCAAACTTTTCTGATAGTAGGATGGAAAAAATATTTGAAGCTGTTCCGTGTGTTCTCAGATAATTTCTGAAGAAATTATCTACATAGATAGAGAGAACCATATCTAGCCATATATGTATGTTTCACAGTATAGTATCCATGTCAAGATGACACGTGAAGATGATACTGTGTTCGAACCCAACGAAACGAAGCTCGAGTATTGCATTTGATTCGGATTTGTAATTTTACATTGAACTTGATATCCCGTCGCCGTATGTATAGTGTTGAAAACATTGGCCGGAAGAAATTATTGTCACATCGAACAATGTGACGCCGCACGCGCGATTCACGTGTGGCGTTCTTTCGCTCACGTGAACAGAGAGGAGGCGGCTGCTCGAAAATGAGGCGCCCCGTCAACGGCGTTCAAAACGTTTCGTCTGACACGTTTTGCTATCCGCGTTATTTTATACGTGATGTTTTACCCTGCCTCGGTGATTACTGGCACGCTGCGCGTTTCCATTATTTACGCATAAAATCAGGTTACACGAATTCCAATGGCTTGAATTCAAGTGGCTCGACTAATGTGAACCACCAGCCTCGGCTCGATTCCCTCTGCTTTAGGTTTTCAGCTATATTTAGAGGCAGCAGCGGCAATAAAAGTGATCGTGACCGGTGATTTATCGGTGCTAATCTTACAGCTTATGGCGCGCCACACAGTTCCTGGCGAACAAGTGCCCGCGATTTTATGAAACCGTGGCATAATCTTCTCTTTCGTCGTAAAACAAATTCTATCGGGCGAATTTTACCGAACCCATGTATGCATTTTGTTTCGTACGCGTGCGAACAACGAGTTGCGAAATATTTATAGCCTTCGGATACACACGTATAGTCTGGTTTTATGATACGTAGGATACCAGGTGATCGCACGAGAATAGTTTTTCGAGCTGATAAGGCTAACCATTAGATGCAGGAAATTTTGAAGATGCAACAATAACTCGTAGCAAGTTGTTTCTCGTTTCTTTCATGTTTTATCGTTTGATTTCAGTCCAGGTTCTGAATCAGCTTCTGTTCGTTCGGTTGTAAAACAGATTTACGAATGAAAAAGATTTACTGGCAAACATGATACCACACAAACCAGCAAACATATCTATTTAGAAAATTAGCAAACATATCTATTTAGAAAATTAAATTTCTCTCCGTTGACCCTTTCTTATCTAATTAGAGATATTATACATTTAATGCAAATTTGTTTATCATTTTGTTTGTTAATAGAGCTAATCTTCAATCAAAGGTGTTGAGGTCATCGCTATATTTTTTCTTTTTTAAATCAGTTTTAAATCTAAATTAATATCGATCTAACAAAGTCGTTTATTTTCTATCTGGTTATATGCATAAATCGCAACATGCTTGACACAAAGTGTCCAGGAAAAATGAATAAATGACTGGCAGTTGGCTATAAAGAAAACAAAATATCGCCGGTGAAACCTGTTCATTTCTTGAGATCTTTGCTCTCACGTATCTCAACACATGCAAATAATGAATAAGTTATGGACGATTTTGAAAATCTGCGCCGGAAGCACGTAGGGATAATTTTCCGTTACATCCGTAACCCTATATATTTTTTTCTGAGCTCGACTTGAGCAACTTTTGTTTTTCCCGCTTTTTTTTTTTTTATACATAGCTTAGCTTCTTTTGAAATAATTAAATCAAGTTTTTTAAAGCGTGTTTGGATTGGATGTTGTCTAACGAAGTCAATCGTGTCATGCAAAATCATGCAAAAATATTTACAATGTCGTACAATCATTCTTCTTTGAACAGAAGGAAGGAAGACTTTATTTTTTTTTTTTTTTTTTTTTTTCAGAGAGAATTGTCATAACTTACTATTTTTCTTTAGAAATAATAGTTTCCGTATTGAACCGTAATTAAATCTAATTGCCAGACATTTTTTTGTCTTCAATTGCTATTAAAATCTTATAATCGTAGTTGAAAGTTGATAAATCCCGGAAACACTGTGGTTTCCCAGGAAATAGGCCATTGATACATAGCATTTTTTTTTTTTAATAACGATTTGTAGAGTGTGACGTCGTACGCCACGTATACGTTTCTCTCTTCCTCTTGATAGTCTAGTAATTGTAAAAGCTACATTTTTGGACGCTATAGTACTGCAGAGTACGTAGTTAAATTCACACAAATTGTCGTCTCTGTGTAATCTCGTGGTTAACAAAAGGAAATTGTGCAGTGAACCTAAAATATTGTTCCTGACGTCAAAAAATATTGACGCCGCTCCAACAATGTATATTTATTTTTGCTACCGCGATTTAAGAAACGCTCCAACTTCTCTTTTATTTGTTGCCATTTCGTGCAAGTTGCTCGCTGATATATAAATATATTTCGTCAGGAGACTACTGAAGCCACCTCTGAATCTGCGTCACGAGCAACGATTCACACTCACAATTCACTGTCGATAAACGAACACCTCCGTTTTTTTTTTTTTTTTTTTTTTTTTTTTTTCGAAATAAATAATATAATTTTTACTTTGCTGCCTGGAATCTCGCCTCTGCCCGAACAGCACATATTTATATAATGTTTCTTTTATATAACGACTAGTAGATTATCTAAACATCGACAAACAGATAATGAAAATTCACGCTGTTCAGTCTCGAACAAAGGAATACGCTGCTCACAGAAATTAGGGGGACATTTAAAAATGAATAAGAAATGATGAAAAAAACGAAGGATTTGATTTTCTTTTCGTTGAAACAAGAAAATACTACGTGATGAAAAAAATCAAATGCTTCTATTTTTTTATCGCTTCATATTGATTTTGTGAGTAGTATAAAAAGCGCAGCATTTCCTTGCAATTAACTCTCGCGTAACGAAATATCTGTGAATCATTACGCGTCGAACTTCTGTATATATGTATGTTAGAAATCAAAGGAAACATGTCAGGTCAACATCTGTTGACAAAGACTCGTGCTTACAATGTATTTTATCGCACTGTGAGCAAATGATTGTATTTAATCTAATAAATTGTCCGTGATAGGTGTTTGAATACATTCGTGAATCACTGTAGACATCCAGTATAGTTTACTTAGCACAAACAAAGTTTGCTGCAAAGTAGAAATCAAACTCGAATCGAAACTCGAATTTGTTTCTTTATCAAATCAGTTCCGTTCCATGTACGTAACTGGCTGTTTAACTTCTCTCATAAACCTAAAATTTTCAGGCGATCGAAAATAAACTGCGAGTCTTGACTATTGACAGTCGAACGAGATGAACGAATGGGGAACGAACGGGTGAATGTAAACTGGAATTGGATTGGCGAAATAGGTCAATTTTACTCGAAATTATGGCGCATAATCTCTCTATATATTGCGGCACACTGTTACCATCAGAGTATATTTAGACTTAACGGATTTTCCCGTAAGCACATGCTGTGAAAATATCTGTATAGCGTGCGACGAGTAGACTGCACTTAGTGCTCCGTCATTCCTGCATCTGTACATACAATCAAAAACTCGCCAAATTATTCGAACGCTTGTCACGACAGACTCTCACGTATCGTACGAGAAATGTTTTAATTGACTGTGACAATAATAACATCTTCATTTCAACGTTAATGAAGGTTAATTACTCAGACAGCTCGTAAAGGACAGTTTTGTAAAACGAAAATCAAAGTATCTCTCCAACTATTAAAATTGGAAATTGTACCGACTTTTTTTTAGTAACATAGTTTCTTTTGTCGTCTTAGAATTGTGTCACGTCTATTATACATGAATGGTTGGAGACTCGCCGGCCGTCGTTGGAGAAGGATCGATTTCAGATCTAGGAGATCTAGAAGGATGGTGGGATAATCATGCTATAGTGGCCTGGAGTTTCGTTCTTTTTGGCTGCTTTTTGCTAAATGTCACTCTTCTATTGGCATTCCTCATACGTCCGTCGCTACGGACCATTTCCAACAGGTTACTGTTTATTTTATTATCGCACAACTGTAACAGAATCGTAATGTGTATCGTTTGGTTTAACTAACCTTTATCTTTCCCGTTTTTTCTAGATTTGTCATGAATCTGACCGTGTCAAACTTGTTGGTCTGCGCAATCATGAACCCGCTGCTGATAATGGACGCTGCTTCAACATCTTCCAATTCCTCGATACTCGACTCTGGATCTGTGTTAAACATTTGCTCAATATCGGATGGCGCAATGGCGATAGTAACGACATCCTCGATCTTCTCGGTGCTGTTAATCGCAGTGGATCAATACTTCGCCGTGGTGGATCCTCTGCGCTATCGCGCTCGCGTAGACAAACTGAAATCTGGAATCTTAATCCTCTCCACTTGGATGGTCTCGATAGTTTTCGGTTTCCTTGCCTTCTTCAACCCAAATCCACAAAGCTTCTGGCTCTCCTGCATCCCCAAAGAATGGTCCAACTCCTTAAACCTTCCCGCGGAATCATCTTTCTCAGTGTTGGGAAATGGAACGAACAACAGCGAGCTGAACGTCACGTCGGCAATCCCTGATATAGTAGAAACTGTCAGCCTCAACGACAATATAGATCTCATAGAGAACGCTACTGTGATCTTCGATACGCTTATAGATGATACAATCACTTATGGCTTTATCTACGCCATTATTTATAGTATATTCGCTTATTTTGTCCCGTTCGTTGCCATCTGTTGGATCTACGTCAGAATTTACACAGCGGCGCATAGAAATTCAGAGAGGGCCAGAAGAAGCGGCTCCAGGCCTATATTGTCTTCAGCGAGCCTCACAGAAGAGCAGAATGGTCCCTCGAGGATTCAACGTTTGCAGATAGACGCTGCCGACGACGGTAGAAAATTACCGAAGATATCGAGTTTATCCTCGATCGATGAGACCAGTGAGACTATGCAACCTACTGGTCAATTGTCCAGAAGACGTTCCTTTTCCTCTTCCGTAGATATCGACGCGACGACCTCCTTGCCCGAGGACAAAACGTCTCCCGGAGTTGTCTTTATGGTTGGTTTGCAGAGACTTGAAATCTCCTCCCAGTCTGTAGAAGACGGAGAAGATCGTAACGACAATTTGTTGCACAGTAATTGCAATTCGGTAAATGGAGAGGAGGAAGAGAACAATCGTCAAGATATTCAGAACAAAGAAATGGAACGATCACCTAGAGATTTAGAGGAGCACAAAGACGTGAACAATTGGATCTCGAGGAATTTCATAGACGAGTGCAGCGACGAGTCCAATGAGGAGGTAGTCCGTTTCGATTGTTCCGAGAAAAAGTTCTCACCTCTCTGCAACTATTCTTCGAACGCGTTCCAAGAATCGCTACGAATCCCCCCCGAAACCCTCGGGGAGGAAAATAATGAAACGAAGGGGAACGGAATTAGCGATGATCAAAGAGAGGAGGAGAACTCGGTAGAGGTGGAAGTCGAGTCGAAGAACCATATTTCGAGTCAAGGAGAATTCGAAACGCATCAGGCGAGTTCTTCGGAAGTGAGGCTCAATCGTAGATTGCCATCCTTCTTCAATAAAAGCGTTTCGTCCCAACCGTGTGAAAATAGTAACAAGACTGAAAAGACCAGCGGTGGCGGCGTCTCAGATTCGTCCTCGTCATGTTTGCTGACACCAATAGTGACGATAACACCGGCGCCGAGCAGAAACGACAACCTGCATCGTGTTTCGAGCGTGAGGAGCACCTCGAGCTACATAAACTCACTAAAGGACAGGATAAGCAATGGTTCTATATTTAGGCACCGCGAGGAGGCGAGGGCGGCGCGGATAAGTGCTCTGGTGATCGTGATGGGTCTGATCTGCTGGTCGCCGTACGTAATATTGCTGGTAATGAAGAATCTACCTCGATCCACTGACCAACATCTGCCCCATAAATATGACGTGTTGGCCTCCAGCCTTATGATTCTGGCCGCGTACATCAGCCCGCTGTTGTTCGGTTACAGATCGAAACGAGTGAAACGCGAGCTAAGACGGTTTTTCTGCTTCAGGAGAGAATTATCTTACAAGAACAATAGAAGCCTGATGGCGAAAAAGGTGTTGAAACGAAGGCACAGCAGTAATCTCAGCCACTTCGAGATGGATCACAAGTATAATATATTCAGTTGCGTGTATGGGAAGAGTCGATGGCCCAAGGAGAAGGTTCAATTCGTTCAAGTGCCGGACACTGCGCTGGCCGTGGAAACTTGCAGGAGCAGCTTCTCCAGCGGAGCCAGCACTCAGATCTCCAGCACCTCGACGGAGGAATGTTAAGATATGTCCATGATGTTCCTGACTTTTTAATCTTCATAAGCCTTCTTTTTATATTGGAGATATAAATATTTTTTTGTGGAGTACTTAATGCACGCTCAGACATTTTTGTTGGTTTTAGACGAGATATTTGTCGGTACAAGTGTTGGTTGTATCGAATAATTTGGAAGAATACGGTTTGGGAGCAAATGATATTTTAATCATAATAATGAATTTGAAAATTGATTTTTAACTACAGATATCTTGACGATGTTTTATAATTGTTGACGAATTGTTTTATAATTTACATCTTGGGTTGTTGAACAACACAATAACTGTATTAAATTAATTTTTATTTAGGGATAATTTGAAAGAAGATTGAGATTTATTGCAAGTTAGATTTTTTCCTTGGAACAAACAGGTCATTTTAAAGAAATATTGATTGAATTGATGTAACGTTGGTTTGTTTGCATAAATGAGTACCGTGTGTTATAAATTTACACTGTACATTCAATTTGTACAGCTATGATATACTGCAACAGTGTGGTGCAGACACAACTTCGATATTTTTTTAAATAAGCTATAAACAGCAGTTGTGATAACTGTTTAACACAGAGTTGCAAAAGTATATTTTTCACCAAGTTCAATATCCTTTACAAACGAAGTTTCAGCAAAATAACGTCTGAACTTTATCTCAGAAGAAGAAAGAAAAATTGAATTTACTTGATGAATAACTTGATCTTTCAGAAATTATTTTCCTAAAGAAAAGATTGTTAAGATAAAGTAAATGTTAATTTACCCGTGACAATAGATGTATTTAATTCCTTAAAAAGATTTAAACTAACAAACTAATTTTTGAATGAACTATTTTAAAGTATAAGAAACGAGAGGATAAATTATGATATGTGTACTATAAAACAAGCGTGTTAGTGATTGTAAGTTAATCAATATACACATAATCATACTTGTCAGAGTCGTATTCGATTGCTCTGATAGACGAAAATATGTGTAAGACATAGTTTGTTCCACTAGTTATTCACACTATTTTTTCCGTGAGATATTTATAGTATTATCTACATATACATATATTACGTAATAGTAAATTACGTAAGTTATGGGATTAAATTAAGACTACTGTCAACGAGGCTGTACAGAGAATGTATAGATTCTAATATCTGTTCAAGCAGCGACACTCGCATTTTGCGCCATATCTGTAATACATATTGAATCGTTTCACATTAACAAAACACAGTTGTCAAGTAAAGTTAGACGATGTACAAAACACTTTATACCTCTGCTGTGCATCTAGCAACACTTCATTACGTAAAAGTTTCATTACGGCACATTTTGTTACTGCAAAATTATTCACTACACACGTATTTATTATCGATAGAAATGAAGACCATATAGAGAAATGTGATAAGCTTATGTTTATTGATTTTACAGTTTGGTTACCATCTAGAAAAGCGCTAGGATCACCGAGTTGTGGAAGTTGATTTGTCTGATTAATCTTGTACAAGGATTGATTTTCTTCGACAGTTGTATTAGGTGTGTGAGATGCAGATTGACGTATGGTTTTTTTTATTAAAAGTGGTCTACTCTTGCGGAAGTTCGGCTTTGGTAATTTCGGAAGTTCGGTAATTGGTAATTTTCACAGAATATGCGACTTATTATGTTTTTCTGTCGTGGTCTTTGAAACTTCAAAGAATTTTCACTCGTAACATACCTTCAACATAAGCAACAATAACGTTTCATGACAAGTCTTTTGAACCTTGAAGTAATCAAGGATGGTTTTCCGACTATTTTGTACATTACAAATAAAGGAGTTTTTTATTTATATTAAATAATCTGTACATAGAGAAAATGATTTGATGACGAATCTTGGTATATATGTGTTGTGTGTATATATTTTTGAATCTTGCATATCTGTTGTGTACCGCGTATTATGCAGCTGGTGCGCCGTGTAGTATGTGTTTTCAAACGTGTATTTTTCTATACTGTCGAGACGCATAAACATATGTATAATTCAATATAGGCTGTTTTTAAAATACAATGACAAATAAAAATTCACCTCTGGCTTTATATTTTTATCGTAATTTCGTCTATCGACGAAGGAGAAGACGAGCCCAGCACAAAAAACGAAATGTAACATGAAATTTTAAAATACAAGAATTGCCCTACGGAAAAATTAATAGTCAAGTATCATTATCATTTTTAAAGATATTTAATAACTAATTTTCACATATTTGTTAATCGTAACAAATACTTGTTTCAAGAATTAAAAAATATACAAAACATCGATTCGTCGATTTACTATTTTTGTAATCTACTCGATGCGACTTATTACAATGGATATATCTAACTTCGATCCTGATACTATTTACAAAGAATCTCTGAAAGTTATAATCGTTTATAACCTAGAATTTTCAAAACGATGTGGTGGTGGTGGAGGATATAATCGAGGAAGTTCCAATGTTGATACTCGTCCTTCGTCGTTAGTGAATGTGCTGTTATCGTATCCGGATTCTGGTATTTTGCTAATTTCCGGTTTTGGTTGTTCTTTAACAGCTCCGTCCATGAAGAACATGGTCGAAAAGAAGAGAATAGAACCTAGAAGGAAGTATAAGTCAGGATCAAAAGTTAATTAACTGTCTGCTGTAGATTGATACGTAAAAATTAATCGCTTGGGAATACTTACTAAGGCCGTAGAAACCGGCGTAAAAAATATAAAGAGATTCTCGGAATCCAATGGCCCTTCTGGTTGGTTCGACCAATATTGGTAGATTTCCACCGATGTTGTTCATCACGAACAAGAAAGCGCCGATAGTGGTTGATCTGAAATGCAGGGGAACTATTTCCACGACCACTGCGAAGACAATTCCAAACCACATTTCGGCTGCAAAGGAAATGAGATTCGTATTTCAGTTCAAGAAAATCAATTTTTCCATAAAGTGAATTGTTACTAGAGTGGCCAATTAAAATACAACTTAGCCATAAAGCTGTAGCTAAATTAATTTACTTACCAAAGAAATACGAAATTCCAAGGGTAATCATAGCCCATAAGGGATTAAAGTACACCGAGCTAAATGCAAACGGCGTGGCGATGATTTGGCTGATAGCTAGAACAGCCACACGCGACCTAATGCCCATTTTCGCCACGAATTTGTCGCTAATTACACCGCCGACCACAACGCCGATGCTACCGATCACTATAGTCACCGCGAAAAGCCACCAGCCTAGGTCATAATCGGGGAAGTAATCTCTGTAATAGAGATCGCAGTTGTACGCGAAACACATTCCACCTGGAAGTGAGAGAATTTCTTTTTTTTTTTTTTTTTTTTTAAAAATCAAAANTAAACAATCAAAGAAAGACCACAGAGAAAGCTTCCATTAAAATTATTTTATATTTGCGCATTTTAGTTTTTTTTTTTTTTTTCTTACATGTTTTGAAACTTTATTTGCTGTTTATCGTGTTACTTCATTTTATTATTTTTTTTTTTTTTTAACAATTTCTTAGTGATTCTTTCAATTGTAATTGTCCTTTCGTTCTTTTATTCTTTTTCTTTCATGGATGTCACGTTCTTTGAAAGCTTGTTTAGACTTTGAAGTTAATGGCTTTTCAGGCTTCCTTCACATCAAAAAATTCACTTTTCGAGTAGTAAGAATTATGTGTCGCAAGGATGAAGCATGGTGGAAAAAAAGGTTGGGAAACACTGGCATACGAGTTCGTGAACGCATTTACTCGAACGTACATCTATACAGTGGCTCGTAAAAATGAACGAACGTTCGTTTCGAATGTTTATTACTTTATTTATGTTAAATACTAGAGTAACGTAAATTAACCGAAAGAAAAAATCGAGATACTCACAAACTTTCATTTTTGGCCTTTTCACACTGAATGGGTAAATCCACGATGGATAACGTGGTCGAGTTTAATTGACAGGAAATGTCGCCATAGTGCAAATCCTCCGCTGTCGCCTTGCTCGTGACACCTTGAATACACGTGTTAGAAAATTACATTGACAATGAACGTTCTATACTTTGATCATGTAACTTTAGAAAATTACATTGACAATGAGCGTTTCTGTACGTTGAACGTCTAATTGTTGTATCCGTTGTGTACGTTGCGTGGACACGTTACATGAAAATGTGCGCAGAAGTAAATTATCGGTATCAAAGCTGTCGCAGGAGAGACATTAATTTATCGCATAGCGTACGAAGGTGAAGTTAAGGAAAATAGTCGATGAAAATTTTTAATTGAATGGTCGTGTCTGTTGGAAGATCTTTATTCGAAAGGAGACTGTATCGGTGATTCTGTCCAAGTGTATTTGCTCGATCGAACGAGTTCACGAGGATCATTAAAAGGAAAAGGAAGCATAAATGCGCAAAACTGAATCTGCATCGCTTACCAATTAAATAATGACCTAGCTCTCCAAGTACGTATCCGACTGAAACAACGGCCAACGCGTACGGTTTGTACAAGAATTGCAATTTCTGAGCCACTGTGCTCAACATTGTGCTCTGTGAAACGAGAAATTAGATTAAATCTGATTGCTTTCTTCTCAAAGTCACGAAAACAGTCTTGCAATTTTACAATTAACTGCAGTGCATGGAACTAAAATACAAAGGCTGAAACTGAACGATACACATCACTGTATCTCGAGATCAATTTCTTACCGAATTATAATTCTGTCCATTTCGATTGAAACACATTAGTCTGATACAAAATTCAACTTGCATACAAATTTTCGACAAATTTCGCGTACGTGTGTAAAACGAGTTAAGAGCACCCGTGGATTACATAATGCCCCAGTATTAATCTTGCGTTGATTACTGCGATAATTATTTTCCCGAGCGTTTACATACTCTTTAACATTTATTCGATGGAAGATAGGCAGTTGTCGATTGTATCTCCGAGTAGTTTACATTATTCTACGTTATTCGACTGCGTATGCATGCCTAATATCGATAACAGAGTTTCGTATCGCGTAATACAGCACACATTGAATCACCGTTTCTGTGAGAAGTAGATTATTATTTAGTAGGAATACGATAAAAATGTGATTTTCAAGTTTCCCGTGGGAAATTGAATTTTAGCGCAAGTCATGAGCTTCGAGCTAAAATAAATTAATACCGACTTAACGAGATGATTTTCATATTCATAAATTGAAATTAAATGGCATTCATAAACACGGCACAACCAGTTACATTCTAATAAATTGGAATTATTAATTCAAGGCTCGTATACGTTTGCACTCTGGCTGATTACTATGCGCAATAATTGCGTAAAGTAAAAGTACAAAACTTGAAATTTCCTACATCTGATGTATCTTTTGGTAATAAAATTACACTGTCAGGAAATATTACGCGTGACTCTTTACGCCATTTTATCAGTCGTTTGTCTAATTGCCATTCGATAGAGCTGTTTAATCGCGCAAAAAAAAAAAATACATCTATTTCATCTGTAGGATTTCTTGCCATTATAAACAAATGCCAGTCCATTGCAAATAAATCGATTTATACTGCCGTGACACATGTTCGGTGGAAACGTGAATTCATACATCCGTAGGTTTCTAACGCACCATGCGACTTGGTCACCTTGAACCAAAATCATTGAGACGTAACGAGAATTATCGTTTTAATAACGTTTATTCCGCAGTTCGTGGTAATAGTCCAGAGTCATTAACATCAGATTTGTAAGCGAATGACAATAAATTTCTCTCCTCACGATTTGTTTTTTAATTTTCCAGAGATTCGTTGTCGTATAATCATATCCATGCGTGAAAATAATAATGAATAAACAGAATATAATGCGTCGAACAACAAAGTGCGTTTAATAGGAAAATGTAGTTGGTCATCACAAAGAAATATATGGTTATTGTAAAAGCAATAACGAGAGATATATATGCAGCTAATTATTCCGCTTTAGTTATGTCAGTTAGTACAGCCAGTACATTTCCAAATCAAGTTTCGTTATTCATCAGTGGCATTCATTTTTCATGAACTCCACCCAGTGATTCGTATAAATACCAGAAAACTTCTTGAGGCAAGTTTCTTATATGATAACAACGATAATAACAAATATTTGTCATAGTGCTCGTCATTGAGAAGGTAAAATCACACAACACGCGATCATTTACTTGCTTTGTATAATTTTTTGTGCTGTCACTATAACGTACATATCAGTTTACACATATTATTTTAATATTGATGGTGTACATATATTATTTTATATTGATCCCATTCCAATAGAAATATCGCAATAGCGTATTTGCGAACGATGCCGCAATCATCAAGCAGCTAACTATTAACACTTGTAAATAGATTTTATATAGGTAGTCATTAGGAAACGTAGGAAGAAACAGGCGAGTGCAAAAAAAGTAAAAAAAAAGTAAAGATATTTCTTCGAAAGTAGGCGTAACTCGGCATGAAATCGCTTCTGCGTATACACGTGCGCCAACAGGATAGTACTTTGTTCTTCCGTCAACAGTTTTACTTATAATTAGCCCGGAATTACAATTTTACTTGAGACACGGTTGTGACTTTATACCGGTTGAACATTCCGGTATGTAATCGATATGCACATGCATATATATATATATATATATATATATATATATATTATATATCAGCACGTTCCACGATCATGCGTTATCAACTGGTTGCTATTGGATTCCTGAACAAGACGTGTCCTAATCAGACAGACAATCGTGTTACGAAGATGACGTTACGAACAAATTGAATGATTGTGAAATGGACAAGAATTAATTCGTATGTATTGCGGACTCGACTGGAATAATTTCTTTATTTATTCATTAGAAGAAGATCTAGTTGCCCAGTTTACTGGAAATTATGCGACACGTAGAGCAGTTTTGTTTAATCTGGTTTCATAATTTTAGAACGAATGTAGCATTCAAGGTTTACGGCACGACTCTATACGTATATAATCCATAATTGTAGTCAGTTGTACGTGATCCGTACGTATTTCTGTCGTCTAGATAGAATAAGCAATTTCTGACGAGAAATACCGCGAAGTTTTATTACAACTGTTGTTCCAGTTTCCCTTAGTTTTCAAGTTATAGACGAGATGCTCTAAAGAGGGTGGTAAAGAATACCTCGAAGGTAGTTTAAAAGAGAAAGTGTGCTTCGTTGAAAGCATACATTTAAAAATCGTTTAAAACACAAGCGTCACACATTGATAAGTAAAGTTGGATCTTTCCGAATAGGGACCCGAGTAAAAAGTTGCTTAAACGTTTTTTTTTTTTTTTTTTTTTTTTAACAATCAAAAGAAGGAGCTTTAGATTCCGTGCATAGTATATAAAGGATATAAAATACGAAAAAAATTTACTTCGCACAATTTGCCAATAATAACGAAATGAAACGAAATTAAAGGAAACGAATGAATTGTCAGGAATAGAAATTTGACTGGAGTAAACCAGACTGGTAGACGCTAATGTACCCTCAGAATGTACTTTTCAATCCTTTGCGTCAAGGTTATTGGCCCTTTACCGCAATGTCTGATGCTGGCAGCTATGCATAACAGTATAACCCTCGGTTGTAGGATTACTTTCCAAATGCCTGTTTTTTTTCCACTAGTACTCGCCCCTTCCTCGCCGATTGTCTTTCTCTCCGGTTCGGAAAGGGTGAAAGTGAGAGCGGCCATAATCAGCCCGATTATACCAGCTCCGTAGTAGCATGCTCTCCATCCCTAAAAATGATAAAGATAATTCTGGAGTGGTAAACAACATACCTCTGACGATAGAGAAAACAGATAAAGTTATTGCTGTTGATTTGAACTGCAGACGCGTGGGTCGGTCGTACGTACCAGATTTCCAATGTTTAATCCTGGAATGTAACGACCCACGGGGAAGGCAATGCCGTAACCACCGTAAATGCCCCAATTGAAAATCGACATGACGAGTCCCCGTTGTTTCTCTGGGAACCAGTCGGAGAGCAAACCCGTAGCCAAGGGATTGCATCCTGCTTCCCTGCGTGAAACGAGTCAGTGAATCAAATTACGCGCTAGTTCGTAGATTTCTTTCGTAAAATTAAATTGCTCTTTAAAATTGCACTTGCAAAGCTCACCCTGCTGCTAGAATCATACGCAGAATGACTAGCTGCCAATACTCTCCAACTGCTCCCATTAAAACTATGGCGATGCTGAATATCAGCGTGCATACAGTTAATAGTTTCACTCTGCAAATAACAGTAAATTTTTGGTATCATTCAACATTCAAATCAGTCTGACTTGTTTTTGCAACATCACGCTTCGATTATATTCCAAGAATCTGTGTCGCGTAATAAAACAAAAAAAGCGATCGCATAATAACACATCTAGCATTACTCTAACGGTATATAATATTTAATATTTTTTCTAAAGTAAAGGATAGTAGTAGTAGTAGTAGTAGTAGTAACGCTTGTATTCATAGCTAGGGTGTCAAGCGTAGCGTAGCAAGGCCAATGACGAAACTAGTCGTGACAACGTTGATATATCTGCTGGAACGGTATGTCACTGATTATGCGATTTAATACGTTCATTGCGTACGTACACGGTGGACTATAATTTCTGAATTATACAAGCAAAGTCAGAGAGAGATTCTGTGGTTTAAAATAAGACAAATACTACTCACAATACTACTCATTTATCAGAGTCTTTTGTATGTTATATCATACGATTAACCGATTTTAGTTTAACGTTTAAATGATTTTTCTCAGAAAACGTAGAAAATTCTAAATATTTCAAGATCCGAATAAAATGTCCAAAGTAGAGTTAGTTTCATAAAAATCATGAATTTTCAAGTCTTCAGTTTCAACTCTATCTTTATTTTTCTCAAGTTAAGGACCTTCTGTCTTCTTCTGTCTGTATCGTTATCGTTATTAGCAAAAATATCACCTGTTATACTTGTCAGCCGCGATACCTAGAGCAACGCCAACAATCGTGAACACGGCGATGAAACTCGGTCCTGCTAGGATTTGATAGTCGAGACCAAGGCCGTTGTAGTTCCATTCACAATAGCGGGACCCATTAAGTTCCAGAGACAGGCAACTGTGAAACAAACATATTCCAATAGTTCATTCTAATTCGATCGCCTCCTAAGCCCGTGATGCCCAACGTGGGGCCCATAGAGGGGCAATTTGATATTCTGGGGCGAAGCAAAATTCGAGAATAAGTTATTAACAGTGAATTTTTTGCATTTCACTTTAAGACGAGCTCAAATTTTGAATTTGTTAGGTACCTTTATTTTATTTTGTAATAATTTAAACAATCAAAGAAAGACCACAGAGAAAGCTTCCATTAAAATTATTTTATATTTGCGCATTTTAGTTTTTTTTTTTTTTTNTTTTTTTTTCTCCTGTGCGAACGTAGGCTCGTATTGTGAAGGGGAACTCTGAGAGAGATAAGAAACAAGAGCAACAGCGGGCACGATGACGACGCAGTATAATTCCCTATAATTATTGACCGATGGTAAATTGGAGGCTGAACGAGCTTTTATGGGCGTATACCCGACGGTCGTGGATGTTGATTGGACATCGATTAGCGGGCCCTCTCGATTAAAAACACCTGCCACGATCCTTGAGAAATACAAAGTTACTTGGTATTCATAATGAGTTGGATAATGATCAATCCTATTATTAGTCTGATTATTATCCATAGATGTGATGAATGCTGTGGGCGATTATTGATTGAATTAACGAGTATATTGTCGACGGACGAAGGCGTGTTTCTACACACGGGGTGTCTCAGTCAGTACGATCAATAAAACAAGGGGATGAAAAAGTAAGTTAAAAATATGGAATAGAATTTGTTCGTACGAAGCTTGGAAATAATCTTTAAACTAGGGCGGCTAATTCCAAACTGATTAACTTGTTGATGTCAAATTGGACGTTGATCTTACATTGCAAGGCAAATGGTGTTAATTGTTAGAAATACGGGTATTTAAGGGCGAGTAAGATAAAGTCTCGTTTAATTAGTATTGTCAATTTTTTTGTTGTTGTGTTCATTGAAGCGTGAACCACTTACGGTTGTCGACGCGATAGTGAAAACAGATATGACAAACGCTGATTCAGGAAATATAATTTAAATGATAGTTATTTAACGACACACGCTGGTTAGATCTGTTTACGGTCGTTGCGTAAATAACGTAAAACCACTGTTGGAATTGCGGTTCGAACCACCAAACGTTCATTATATATATTTATATACACATGGTATCTCGGTACACACCATGAGTCGTAATTCAAGTCAAAAGTAAGAGAAATTCTAAATCAAGAATGATAAAACTGTCGTTGTTCGACAGTTCGTTTATGAAAACAAATTTTTAAGAAAATTCAACGCAGAGAAAATCTGAGATACGAAACAGAAATCCGTGCGTGAGTCGTATCGTTTGGAATGAGTTCCGGAATGCAAAGTCGGTCGTGTTCGTCTATACGTAATCGTACGTAGAAGCTTTTGTTAGTGTCTTTTAATAACTATCATTGTTGCGATAGAATTTTTCACAACGTCAAAGTGTTTCTGCTTCGAAGAACTCTTTGAGAATCGTTTAATCGATTTCTACTGACGGAGGGAATCGCAAAGGAGGGTAATTCGAATTAAAAGTTAGTACGTTGAGTTGGATCGAAGCTGGATTGTTCAATTCGGGCCATTTCAAGTAAATTCGACTAAAGCGAAAAATGATAAATAGTGGATTTCAATGGAAGAAACCTAATTTTCTCTATAATTATTATTTTTGAGTTTCGAGCAAGTGTAAAAAGAGAACTAAAAATCTCGTTTGTTATTCCTTATTACGTAATTTACTTACTCGTTCTGCTTCTGGTTTCTCAGCTTTTCAAGTGCCAACGCGAAGCTCGAACAGAGAAGAGGAAGCAATCGTAATTTTTTAGATCACTGTCAATTTGGTGTCACAGATACATTTGTAGCCGAATCGCAAAGGCGAGCAAAGATAAGATGATCGTACTACGTAGTTGATCGTACTACATGGAGAACGATCCCTCCGAGTACGAGGGATGGAGCGTTATGTGAGAAACGAGCCAGCGGTCAACCTTCATTTATAAGAAAGCGTCCAAGGATCGGACCTTCCGCGGATTCTAACGAAGAAGGGGTACCAATAGCTCGTACATATTAACAGGTAGAGTACCGGAGAATACTTACCTATGGTGGGAGTTAACGATACTCTTGATCTTCGATTTCCAAGGTCCTTTCTGTTCGATCGCACTCGTATCTTGATCCTTTGGAGCCGTACGCGAGTCCAAAATCTACTGCAAACGTAATGTATCTTGTGTCGAAAAATAATGGATACTTTGATACTTTATAGTGAGATTGCATAAATCAGGAAATGTCACTTTTTTCGTGATTCTAAAAAGTCGTAGAAAGAGTGTCGATCAATATATTAGAACAGTTCGGTTCCCCCTTCTTTCGTTTAATCAAAAATCTATTCTACGATCGTAAAGATTGTATAATATTGCTATACATCTATTATTTTATCACTGGAAGAATGAAAGGAACAATGAGGATCGAAACGAAATCGTTTCACTGTATAACAAATCGTATATGGAACGTTATTATTGTAGGGTCCTTGAACGATGGCGATTATCTTTCTAATAAAGGGGACAAAGGCCTGATATTCATTTTCGAGGTGATTAACCTGCGCAATTAAAACGGCATGTATGGATTTCTAGGTGGTGTATTATCGTTCTAACATTGACATACTTAACCGTGACTGATTCTTGTGTCAGTTAACACTGCGATATGTAATAAAGGGAGTTCGAAGACTCTCCTTGAAATGCGTGATATGTGATACAATGTATTATTGTTTTAACAACACTCGCTGAAAGTGAAACTGCAATTTTCGTGCACGCTGATTCGCATCATGAGAATTTCTTTGCAATTGACATTGAGCGTCACAGTTATAAGGAAAATATTCAAATACAGAAATTTTCTAACAGAACATTTCTGAGATTCAATACATACACTTTTAATGTTAACTAAACTTTGTCCACGTCAAAACTTTGCATTTTATTTTGAGACTGAATTATACCTTAACGTCGAAAGGAGAAACAATTGTTTCGCTATTGAATAATTATTCGTTATTTAGATAATTTTCTCTTTCAAATCAGAAAACTTTACTGTTCTCGGCAATGTCATTTAAATGATTTCAAATATTCCCAGTTTGTCTTCTGCCAAGTCCATAATTTATTCCTCATTCTGTTTCACATCAGAATATCCAGAGTATCGAAGATCAATAGCCACGAAATACACATTCGGGTCAAATTGTTCGCAGCGTTGTGTCGTTCGAACGGAAACTAACTGGCATTGAGCTAAATCGAAAGGACTCGATTCCATAGTTGAATAAACGTTAACATTTTGAACGAATTAACGATTATGAGGTACCGTTCATCAAACATGTTCACTTCATTTCGATTTGAACGTTACTTACAAAAAAAGAAAACAAAAAATAACATTATCGTACAATTATAGGAAAAAGTGGCGCAACATAGACTATAATATTATCGTAAAAAGGAAAGAGTAAAAAAAAAGGCTAGGCAAGGAGCTAACTGCTAAAGAAATATTATTTATAAATAAACTTATTGGAAACGAACTGAGATGGCATCAAAGGCGTGAAAATTTTATGAAAACTTGGACTGAACATCTTGTCAGCGTTATTCAGCGACTCGGTTAAGTTGAAGATTTTAGAGATGTTAAAAATTTCTAGCGACTGTTTTGTTGTTTATTATTTTTTTCCATCGATCGTTTACGATCAGATGAACGTAATCTATTTTCAAGGAGCGAAATTAGCGAAGTTGTGATATTTTAAATTACAAATCGAGTTCTGCTATGACAGTCATAATATTTAGATGGTAATAAGTGAGATTCAAGGCGTTATTGAAAATTTATGAAACGTAGGCGCAGCGGTAACGATCGATCTCTCTTCGTTCATTCTGGATATAAAAAGAACGTGAAAGCGGTACCACATTTATCTCGTTGGAAAGTTTCAGTTCTCAAATTGAACCAATTACATAGAATTAGCGTGTAATGAAAGTTGGATGCACTTTGCCGCTGTCGTCTAGCCCCGTGTAAAAGACACGTGTATCCCTTAGTCTTGAAATTTTTTTTTTACGTGCGTTGTACGTACCACGGATCAATCGTAAATTGTTCGTAAGAGAAAATCCCTTAGATCCATTAGAAACAAGCTCGTTTGCATTTCTCAGTTTATCATTCCTCCCAAGGAATGTTATCGGGCGCCTTATTTTCCAATAATATTCTAATATTAGTGCCGTCAGTCAACGAAGGAAGGGTGTAAGTAGCCGTGCAACCTGGCATACCACGCGTTCTCCACCTCGTGACACGTAATCGAATTCCTGTAGAACACTCGTTCCCGCGGCTCTGTCGCTTCGAGATTCGCAGGAGAGCCGAGAGAAACGGAAGGATGCAGTACGCACTCTCCCTGTTATCGACCATATCGAAGAGAACACCGAGAACCAAGGGAGAACGAACGACGGCGAGCGACACCGAGTCGAGCCGAGGGGTGAGTTTCGTGCTCCGTTGTTGTACTTTCCCTCGAACGAATAATACCGCAATTCCTTCACGCTGGATATTATTCATGGTGAATACGATAAATCACCACCTTTAAACGATACTCTGGTATACAATCGTAAATTAATTTTCAACAATTAAACACGTGTTCGCGGAATTAACAGCGCCAAAAGATCGAAGATCACTCGTCCTCAGGACTCCATCGTAAGTGCGATCGAGGATTTCTTGTTTAGTGTTGTCTTGTATAGGGAATAACACGGATTGCAATCGCAGAGTATATTTAATGATTTAAATTTCAATTAATTCTCTGTCGTGAATTGAAGTCTCTCGCGTTAATGTCGGGAAAATAAACCCGAGGATTTTCATTATTTTTGGAAATTGAACACCAAAAAATTTTTCTTGTTCGAAGGTTCTTGTCGAAGAGAAAGAAATATTACTACGTGTTACTAAAAGAAATATACTAAGGAATAGAAATTGTTGTTACAATGTGGATAATTAAAAGAAGAAAAAAAGAATCGAAGATTATAAAGAAGTTTTAACGATTGACGGTGTTGATTCAGTTAATGCGTAAACACAGTATCTGATCTCAACGATTTGTCCGGTCGGCACTCACTCGATGGTACCGGTTTCTCATGTTAACGTGGTTGTCGATCGTCGCAACAGATACGCAGCAAAAGTGATATAAGTACGTACAGTGAAAACCTGGAATATCTCGATACTCGTCATAATATTTTTATGGAGAAGATTAAGTGGATAGTCGAGGTGTATGTGTTTAGAGGAGACAAGTGGTTTTTGGACTGGATTTCTGACTTTACGGTGGAAGAGCATTGATATTTAGCGTTGAGGATTAAAGATGAGTCTGAGACGGGTCCAGCTGCTGATTCATTTGTAAGTGAAGGACCATGGAGAACGGTGGTCGATGGTACAACAACACAGTTGAGGAGAAGTATGTTTAATCAGATTTTTACTTCTTTTTCCCCGATTTTCTCTGTATATCCCCTACAAGTGATTTCAATGATTTTTCGATTTAACGTACGAGAGATTGACTATCATTTTCTGTATTTTAATACTTTGATGGATTTGAATGTTGTTTATGTGAGTAATATCATCATTCCCTATCCCTATGAATTTAAATGTATACTCTTTTTAAAAAGAACCTAATGTAACATAATAATTGCACGATGTTTCTCATCTCGTTGATGTGCACAGTTTTTATTACCAGTACATAGAACAACGAAATCAATAGAATTGTTTTACATTGCACCTCGTCGACAACAGACGTGAATTATTGATTTTATTGGCAATATAAATATAGACAACTTTATTGCAATAGCTGAAATTTTTTAATCGTCACATTACATAAAATAGACACTTTTATTAATAAAATAGCCAAACCACAAATTAATAAATGACGTCTGTAATTGTCTTCTTTCTCTTTGTCTTAAAAGTTGATGAATATCTCCTTATTTAATACATTTTGCAAAAAGAATAGTAATAAGTTGTCGAAAGAAGTAAAAAATCGACGAAAAATTGTCTTTCAACAAACGTGCGATACATGAGTCAGATCTATCGATCCGATCACGCGATTTGCATCGTTTTGCATTTTCGATCTAATAGCCGTCGACGAACGCGCCATCGAACGACGAACGATTGGTCGAAATCCTTCCACGAACCGATATATCAAGGTTACCACGGGATACGCTCATTATACTAACAGTTCCTCCGTCGTAAGTTCTCGTTCAAGGTTCCGTTAGCGACTCTACAGGATTTCTGTCTCCGTTCGTTTCATCTTTCCGTCTTCTCTCGGCTCTTCTCCTTACATAATTGACGATACTGCACTCCGAGAATTGCCAGATCAATCATGCAAAATTCCCGTGATTGCGGGATATCGCCACGAAACGAGAAACGTGGAAGATCGCGTGAAAAAAATTGATTCTTCAGACGTTAAGATATCTGTTGATCTTTTCAAAATCTAACAAATTGGTAGAATTTTTTTTTCTTTTTTTTTTAAATAAAACTGAAGAACGAAGCTATTTTTAAAGCTCCCGCTTCAAATACCGTTTAACTTATGCGTTTCAGGAGAAGTATGCGTATTTATTCAAATGCTTTCGTTTCAAATGATCCAGCAAAATTCTTTATTTTTCTCAGACGGAGGTAGGAATGGAAGGCAGAAGGAGGCAAAAGAAGGAATTCCAACGATGGTAACGATCGCGCGTTTCCTTGGCAATGATTCTCCGCGGAATCGAAAGGATGTTGAAGCGATTTTAAAGAGATAAATCGAACGGGGTGATAGGAAAACGGAGTGGAAAAAAAAGGAAAGAAAGAGAGAAAGAAAAGGAACGAGAAATCGGATCGTCATGGGCTCGCTGCCAAATCTTCACGAGTTGTCGAAGGACAAACTCGAGAGTCCTGCTTACAGACCGGCACCGATCGGTGGTTTAGGACCCATACGACTGCCAGCTCAGCCTCCGCCTTTAGCACACACACATAGACGCGCTAGAAGCAGTGGTCATCATCACACCTTGTGGGACAATGATGCTATGCTAGAGGTAAATACCTGAAGCATGACACGAGCCACATATATGTATGTATGTGTATATACTCAACCCTGCTGTTCCCCTTGGTTCCGCACGATCTTTGATGTTCGATGTTGTTCGCACTTCACCTCTTTCTAATGCCTTGTGTGTATTTTGTTAACGAAAGCATCTCAAAATTTGGAAGGAGGATATCAGAAGAAGAAGCAAGGAGAGCAACAGGGTTAATATAAGTACTATAGTAAAGTTACAGTATTCTAGTATATACATATATAAATACAAAACTATAACGTCAATTGGCTACGTCTGGTTATTACTAAACTTGTCAAAATCCTGACGTACAGCACATGGCGACATACTCACCCATCTCCTGTCGGTCGACGAGAACATCTGCATTGTCATGGCGTCGACGAGACTCGATGAACTCGTCGGCAGGAGCGTCCTCGGTTCGTCGATTGATCGCCGCCGTGAGGGCGGCTCCTTCCGGTCCCAGGCCGCCGAAGAAAGCGATTCTGAGGCACTGCGCCGCCCTTCTGCTAGGACACGCGAGCTGTTCAGCCGCTACGCTGCCAATGTTCCCGTTGCAAGCTGGACTCGGTACCTTCAATCCTCATCTGGGACCGATGTTGCTCGCCCTGCTCTACGCGATCGCGACCATCACCAGCTGTTTCGCGCCAATTCTCGTCCAGAGATTCGGGACGAACCTCGCAATAAGCACTAGCCACATGGCCACCACCGTTTTCGTCGGGTTACATTTATATCCGAAATGGTTCGTGTCATTAATCGAGAATAGGTAACTTGTAACTTGTAATAATCCTGTAATTGTCTGTCTCAGTCACAGTAACTCACTCACAGAGATGTTTAATAAAACATTTTGTTTGTTACGAATGTTGAAAGAAGTACTCACTTCATTTATTCGTCAACAGGTACATACTGTTACCTAGTTACGCGATGCTCGGTGCTTGTATGAGCCCAAATTTCATAGCGAGAGTTTCGCACGTGAATGTCTCAGCGACGAGTTTGGCTCTGGTGTGCGTCGATCCCGAGGATCCTGATGAAACAAGACGCGAGTGCCTTCTGAGGAGACTTAATCGAGGAATCAAATTAGCGGAAGACATAGGTCTCGCACTGGGTAAGGAAATCCCAGGAATATCCGTGACTTGAACTAACGATACGAGTGTAGTTTTATATATATATATGTCTTTTTTAGGTTGCTTAATCGCTGCCATACTTGTAAAACTAACAGACTCTGAATATAGCGAGCCTCTGAATATAGCGAGCAGTGAGAACGACATGTGCGGAGCGGAGTACTGTCCAGAGGAAACCTATCAATACAATGGCACAATTTATTCGCCTACGTTGCCGTCTGGTGCATCGAAAATATTGGTCAGCATATGGCTAGGTCTTGCTGTCTTAGGCTTAAGTATATCGTGCGCTTTCCTCGACTCTAGGATGAAGGAACCGCAGAGTGTAAACGAAAAGCACAGCATGCAAAATATCCTGCAGTCTGTGAAAGCTGCGTTTCTAGATCCTAAGCTACAGCTGGCTGCGCCATTAACGCTTTTTATCGGACTTGAACAGGGTTTCATCTATGCCGATTTTATAGAAGTGAGTATAATACAAGATCTCATTCGAAAAATCTCCTTTTACTACTGAAACTAGAGAACTTTTTTTTCGAACTTTTACAGACGTTTTAAATTTTTGACATCAGACTGTAGATATTAATTTCGAATGTTTGATCATTTTTTAACAGGCATATGTAGTCTGTACCCTGGGGGGAGCTAAGACAGTAACCATCAGTTTTTTAGCCCTAGCCTCTTTACAAGCCCTCGCTGGTGTTACTCTATCAATGTTACTAAGGCACATTAAAAGATATTTCGTAGTAGGTGAGTAAGAGACTCAATAGATGAAATAGTCGTAAAAGAACTGAAGCAAAAATTCATTTCGTATCAACAAACATCTATTTTTACGATAATATAATATCAAGGATAATATACGGTGCTTTGCTTAACAGTTGTAGGATTTGTATTCCACGCATGTTTACTGCTGGTCCTGACTACCTGGAGACCATCCGGTGATGATCCAGCACTTTTTCACGTTATATCTGCCGCCTGGGGAGTTTGCAACTCTATTTGGGAAACTCTGATATATAGTAGGTTACATCTGCAATTCGCTTCCATCTTTTCAAAGCTATTCTCAGTGCGAATCACAGAGGATTCTCTCCGTATATATTTAACACAGTAACGCGTCTATAGACTTGTGCTATTTTGGAATTCGTCGTTTCAATTCCTTTTTCGTTGTAGAACGTACAACGTAAGTAAGTACCAACCATCATCTTGTTCAATTTCTAGCACTAGTACTGGGTTTGTATCCAAACTCTTGGCAAGGACCATTATCAACGTCCCTCTTCTGGAAGTGGCTTGGTCTTGCCCTTACTCTCGGTTTACACGGACTGGTCTGCACGCGATTTAGAGTACTCGGTCTTTCCGGTGTGCTAATTCTTTCAGTGCTTCCTTACGGATGGTTAGAGATCAGGCTGGCCAAAAGAGGGAGTAGCTTGGCGCCATTGTGACTGGGAGATCCGACTACCAACCACCACGGATCAAGTATTAAAACAGACGCACGTTACAGAGATTGAGATAAGTTCGTTCCATTCGGCTTAAGGAGGGCAAGAAGACACAATAGAAGCAGAAACCCTTTCATAGAACATGCTGCGACTGTGACCAAGTTGCGGACACGTCGAAGAGCGAACAGCGTAGCTTTTACTTTCAACACTAAACAGAGCGTAAGTGTGAAAGATAACGAGCCTCAGCCTTCCTCTTCGACTGCGGACAGTCATAGAACAAGTATCACAAATCAGCAGGAGAGCAGCGGTGGTGTTCTTCCTGTCTCTTAAGGCTGAACTTTTTCAAAGTTTTCAATGTCTTTTCTAGTTAAAATTTTACAAACTGGGACAAAGGAACAATCGTAATTCTGAATTTTCCAGATTCAATTGGATCTCGTTGTATGCGTTCTCTCTTCTCTCAAAGTATTTTACTTGTCTAAATGTACCAGTTTTGTCTGTTTATCTTTTAGTATAGCATCGGCTGAAAGAATTTAATTTCGGAAAATCGAAGATCAATCCAGATGTTCTTAGGAAGGGTTGTCACGACGTAAAAAGTTCAATTAAAACGCAAGAAAAATTGACGAAGATATATTTGTCGAAAGTTCAATAAGAGAACTTTAAAATTTTAATTCAAATCGCAGTATAGTTCAGTGATTCGTTACAATCAAATGTGTCAAATGCTGAATGAGTATAAAGTCTTTCTTCAAGTTGAATGGAACGAAAACCGTATTATACATGAAATTTTTCATGTGACAAATATAAATGAATAGAAACTCTCGCGCGGATGATTTCTTAATCCGCCACGGTACGACCGCTTAATCGGCATCGTACAAGACTGAGCGATAGCAAACTGTATATATATATATATATATATATATATATATATACACACGCACACACACATATATATATATATATATATATATATATATATATATAATTAACGATTGATTGCTAATCGTAGTAGTATCTCTCTGACAAATCATTACAACTGGCGTTCAACCGTCGAAACGTACCTGATGTCTTTCAAAAAAAAAAGAAAAAAGAAAAAAAAAGAAAAAAAGAAATAAACCAAATTAATTTTAATCTTGTGGAAACAAAATGAAAGGAGATTGTAAACCACATCTGCCCTGTGTCACAGAATCGAAATGAAAATCTAACTATAAGATATTTGAATCTAAGTATAGCTATAAACATAGTTTAATTCTAACTCCATATTATTACAAAATACCAAAGTTTATCATTCATGTGAGAAGATAATTCACAAAGGGAAGAACTCATCGTACAAATGAAACATTTTTCGATTAAAAGGGAATATTTTAATTTAGAAAAGAAGAAGAGGAAAAAAAAAGATAATGCTTCAACGAAGATGCCAATATCACTCTATTTGTCACGCTGTAAAGCATAAAGTATCGCTGATTATGAACTTCAGAGGGAATCGAATAATCCTAAGTCAATAATTAATTAACGTTAAAGTGATAAACGTTGCACAATTTTTCCTATTTTTCTGTATTATAAAATTGTTATTTGTTACTTTCGCCAATTATTATATCCGAAAGGGTGAAACGGTAGCACAGGTAATCCATTCTGTCCTGTAAATAACGACCAAATAAGTGTAACACGTAAAAAGCTCGTATATTTATCGTATATTTTACTACGTTATCTTTCGACGTATTCACCATATCATGAATGTACGTTTGGTTACGCTTCTTATAGACATCTCTCGAGTATAAAGAGTTACAATTTGCATGATTTGACGAAAAATAATGCAGAGTTGCATTTTATTTATAGATTTACTTAACTAAGAACGTCGTAACACTGATATGATGAAAGGAACTTTAAATACAGATTAACACGTGTTATCCTAAATAATTGTTACAAAAGTAAAGCATCACAACAGACAGTTTGTTGTTGGTGGTCTAGCAGATAGATATTTATATGAGAATATTTCGTAATTTATAAAGTTAATAAGAGACACAAATAGCCGGACTATTTGTACGTTTACCATGAAAGATTTTCAAGCGCAATGTGCCGCTCTTCTTGTTGCCATAATTTTCAATCGTGTGACTGATAATTTATATTAATTCACGCATAAAGCATTGAAACCAAAACATAACCAACATGAAATTAATTCATATTAATAGCATCATATTTGTATGTATACCAGTATATTTTGCAATCTTGAAATAAATTGTATAATTAAGAATCCGTATAAACAGATATATAAAAAAGCAAAAAAAGAAAAAAAAACGAACAAAAAGAAGCACTTTGAAAAGTGTGGATGAAAAGATGCAAAAGAAAAAAAAAAAGAAAAACTTGTTAATTGTTGCAAAGACTAGGACAAGAAACGCCACTTCCGAAATCATCCAACGTGAGGATCCAATATCAAAAAATCTTCAGCAATAAATTTGCTCACAAATCGATTCGATTAAGAATTCCTAAATACGTACTTGGAACCGAACTTACATCACGAGTTCGAACGACGAAAGAGAACGAAATGGAAGGAAAATGTGTTCGTGTCCTAGTATATAAAAGCATGGATTTAGAAATGGTACTGGAGAGGCGTGTATTAACTGTATTTCGTGAAATAATAAATATTATCTTATTTTATATTGATCGATGTTTTCATCAATCATCCTTTTCGACAGATTTGCAATCTTGAAACAAGATTTCAATTTATATACACGTATGTATATGTATATAATAGAATCTCTCTCTCTCTCTCTCTCTCTCTCTCTCTCTCTCTCTCTCTTTCTCTGTGAAAGAAAGTAGATTGCGTGAGAACATCATTATAGAGAATATTATTTTTTTCGCATTTTTTTAGAGATTACATTTATGTGAACTACACATAAATAGAGTTGCTAACAACATTGAGTGTTAAAAACGACATGGTAAAACGTTATATTGTATTACTTTCATCATAAATATATTATTCACACACAGGTAGATAATTTGCAATAATATTCGAGCCAGGAAAAAAGTATTTCTCGCGTAAGTTCGTTCTGGCAGTAAGATGCACGTTCCTCGTAGCGAACGTTGCGCTGTATTATATTATTATAATTATGTATTGACCTCGTGTAATGCCACATACGAGGATAATAACTAACATTTTTCACTTTCCTCACTATTCATCTCTTTTATTAGTCTCGTGTCATTGCCCTGTATAAATCCTACCTCAATGGTGATGACAAATGCGATCCATCATGGCATTTAGAGTTTTATATGTACTTATAGCATACAAGTTTCTTTAATAACATTAACTACCTAAATTATTGTCATCATCACGAGACATATAGAAGTTGATGCATCGACGTGACAGTCGAACACTAAAATATAACAAATAGAATTATATACCTAAGTCACTCTCATCCATCATACCATTAGCCACATAAAAACATTTAGCTACAGCATGTATAACTTTAACAATGCCCCTTTATTCAATCGATTCGATTTCATCCTCTCAGGTGTACGTGACTTTTTCTTCAATCTCAACCATTTAAAAAGTCACACCTTCAAGAAACAACTCTGCTCTACAAAACATAATACTTTTTCTCTCGAACGACAGAACTACATGTACACTGTTTCGAACGCAATTACAACAACACAAGTATAGTAATTACAACACAAGAGATCATGAAAAATTGTACGTTTGCATATATTACAAAAAATGAAAGAGGATCCGCTGATAACAGACGTAAAGGGAAAAAGAGATCCTGCAGAACGAATAAAAAAAAAACATACAACTATATTTTGATTTCTACAAGAAAATACTGATAAGCGAATATCGAAGTGTCGTTCAACTGCGTGGAAAGTTATCTACCACAGGTCGAATTATTTTCATTGCTAGCGACAATTATACTTCATTCGAAATATTTTGAAATTATCTATGGGACAAAGAAGTTTGTAATTATTAAATTTGTTCGAACGCTGTATATATATATATATATATACATACATACATACATACATACATACATACATACATACATACATACATACATATAGAGACGTTCCTTTTTACATAAATAAATTTGAACTGAGCAAATGCACAGGATTCGTCATTCGACATGCAAAACAATGAGTTGGAACTCGACAAAAATTTATTGTTTATAAATTATAAAGCCTTCTTGGTATTTAGTTTTTCTTAAAAAGGAAAAGAAATGATCAAGAATCGTGTATAAGTTATATCGGTATCCATGAGTAAATGCTATCTCGTCTGTCTTGAGGAAAGTAATATTAGGCCGAGCCACAGCGAATTAAATACGTATACAACATCATTAATTATTTATATATCTTTCTTCAATTCCAGGTTTCGCAGTTCATCGCTTCTTCGGCCAAATATTACTCGTATATTTTCGTTTAACATGCGTAGTAATTGCACAAATGAAATGGCTCTTACATCGTTATTCATTCATACCAGAAATTAAACAGAGGATCGCCAAATATTTCCAAACATTTACTTATTAACAAATTACAGCAGCCATTCTCTTTTTCTTCTTTCTCTTTTCAAGTACTGTGCAAACAGTTTTCGTCGAACAAAAAACATTTATGACTCGTAATTTGCCAATACTAGCAACTTTGGTAATATCTGTCCCTGGTAACTACGCATAAAGTATTATGAAACTATATAATAGCGAATGTTCATCTCACACGAGTATTTTAAGTTAATTAAATACAATACACACCATATCGGTTTCGTTTTACATTTTCTTTTGTATTTTCACACGAAAAATCATCATATATATACATATATATATATATATATACATACATACATACATATATATATATACATATATATATATGTAATTATATATATATATATATAATTATATATATATATATACATACATGACTTCCAAACGAATAGTAAAGTATGTCAAAACACATATTCAAATGTATTCGCTATAAATAACTGTGCACGCACACACTACGAGATTCTTAAATAAAATATAAGACACAGGACTACAGCATATTTCAGGGAAAAAGGACACATCTTAATTCGATCGGAAATTTCATCGACTGAGCTTTAAAAACTACTTCGTATAGAAATCTTTTGTAAAAAAAAAGAAAGGATATGAAAGATGCCTGCAAATGAGATTATACTACACTAAATATCTCAATTTGTTTTTTCCCCTCTTTCTTTCTTTCTTTTTATATAAAAAAATCATTATTAAAAATGTACACGCTCAATACGATACATACCACGACCAAGTATGTGATATTGATCATGATATTTATTAATAAAGCGTAAAATGTGTACTCCCCACATATAAAAATCATAACGCGTCACTGAGAAGAGCCTTTTTTTTCCTTTCAATTAACATGAACGTAACATCAGCAATGAACATAGTTCTACCACATGGTGCGATATTGAGCAGTTTGCACTTTGATAATATTCACACTAAGGCAATTTTGTATAATGAGTAACACTGCATATCTCTTTCATTCACTCTCACGCGCGCACCATCATTTTGCTCTGCGTACCACAGAAAGTCTCCCCCCCCCCCCTCCCTTTCGAATAATTTACAATCACTACTTAAGTTTGATACTTAAAATCTGTCTGTGCAAACAAGACGAGCTACTCAGACGGGAGTGTAATTTCCCTTCGGTTTGTAAAATATCTGCCCACTTGCTAAACGCCTTAAAATTTCGGCCAGCAACAGGCGTTTCTCCTTCTTGATCTTCTTGAGTATACCCCGGTTCTCTTGTGCACGCCGAGACAAGTACGGTAATACTTCTTTCACTGGACCATAAGGAATATATTTGTACGCCGAATACCCAGACTGGCCTAAAATTTTTGAGTTCCGTCAGTCAAATAGTCTATTCGTTAGTTTAGTCCCGTGGTATTCCCAATGTCCCACACGGGAGCAATTTGATCGAACAGAATAAAAATACGTACCTAGTGGAAATGTTATATAGTCGCACATTCCCAACAATTGACCAAAACAAATCACCTTATCCTCTGGTGAGATTCCTATCTCCTTCATTCTATTTTATAACATATTTAGAATACCTTAATAAATAGTAATTGTTTGAATAACTACTACTAGTAAACGGTATGTCCAGTTTATTAAGACAGTGCAGTTATTATTCAGATTTATTTTATTCGTATTTAGTGCAATTATTATTCAAATTCTCGGAAATTGTATATTCGAATGGAAACAATTCTGCGTGCACGTATTTAAACCAGACATACAGAGATTTACATCTTAAAAATATTCTTATAGAGAATATTCTGCGCGACGTACTTTTCTATCGCGAAGCGTACTGTGTCCTCATTGTGGGACGCAACCATAATACCAATTTTCTTCGGATCCTCTCCTTTATCTTTGTACTGTTTCATTCGCCTTAAACACTCCATTAGAGTTCTATGATAAGAGTCGGTTGTAGCCTCGTACGTAGGATTCGTTGGATCAGGATAACCCATCGCGGCTGCTCTCGCCCTCTCCTGTATCAATAATTTCAAGAACTTTATCCAGACTCTTGCATCGACGCGATACAACAGTCACTTTAATCTAGTCAACGCCCAATCGACGAGTCTCTCTCAAAAATTCTGTCATATACTTTTACGCGTAAATAAGTACATTACCATTCATAAATTCAATTAGACCTGCAAAAATTAAAAGCAAAAATTTCCTGCGTACAGCGTGTGACAATTTGATCTATGTGCTATTCTACGCAGTGATCAAGTGTGAAAGATAGAGGGGGAGGAAGTTGTAGAATGCAAGTCAGTGAATGAGGGGAGGAATTACCTGTTCAATGTAAGCGCCACGGACGAGTTTAGCACCGAAATAGAAATTCTGTCGTTCAGCCTGTTCCAGATCCGTCTTCACTTCATTAAAAGCTTCTTGCAAGTATGTCTGATAAGTGTTGAACACCACGGCCTAGGAAGTAGACCATTTGCGTTTAGACCACTGAAAATTTACTAAGTGATAATATCGCATCTACAGAAGCAAAGCATTTACCTTACGTGTATTGTACTTGCGCATCATCTCCAACGTTAACCGCGATATCGCAGGTTGGAAATATGTTTGTTCAGCATCTATCATTATACGTACGTCTAATTTATCGGCCACCTGTAACAAAATTCACAATTCTGTCTTTGCCAAAGTAACAAATCGCAGGGTGCCCTGTTGAATTAGCTTATAATTTTGTATCACAT